GAGAGAGAGAGAGAGAGAGAGAAAGAAAGAGAGAGAGAGAGGGGGGAGAGACTGAGAAAAAGAGGGACATACAGACAGACAGAGACACAGTGAGACAGAGAGGGGGAGAGACAGAGAGAGAGGGGAAGAGACAGAGAGAGAGAGGGGGAAAGACAGAGAAAAAAAAGGAACTACTGATAGACAGAGACAGAGTGAGAGGGAGGGAGGGAAAGAGAGAGAGAAAGAGGGAGAGAGAGACAGAAAGAAAGAGAGAGAGAGAGAGAGAGAGAGAAAGACAGAAAGGAAGAGAGAGAGAGAGAGAGAGAGAGACAAATGCAGGCACTACACACACACACAGATAACTAGTACTTGAAATTAAACATCTTATAAACCTGAGGATGAACAAATAAAAGAAGGAAAGATTTATAGCTGGCATTCATTTAACCCTATCCGTACGTCGTGTTTTATTATCGTATCCATACGACATGGGGAACTCCGTGTCACCACTTTCAAAGACGAAATTTACTCTTTAATCCGATCCGTACACTTTGCATAGCAGTCTGTCAAAATGATTTTTTGAGAAGCATTGAAAGTTACAAAGACATCTTCGTACTAGAAGTATTCTAAAATGTGAAAAATACAACCCAGGGGTACAAAATGACCCTAGGGCGTACGGACAGGGTTAAAAAATCAAAATTCTCATCAGCCATATAATTCAGCAGTGAATAATTTTTAAAAGTTGAGGTTTTTACTTTTTCTCCATGGTGCATGCGTTCGACATATCTGTGATTTTGTTTTTTTGTTTTTTAAAAATTGTTCTGCACACTGAGCATCTTGACAAGATGAAAATGGGCAATATAAATGCAATTTTCTTCTTATTATTATTACCGTAGCTATTTTTAAAAATTAGAAATTTTACCATTTTACCATACACCTTCAAACTAGAGCAAAACAGATAAAAATCAAAGTGCATCAGAATTAAATTTAGATTAAAAATATAGTAAAAATAGATAGAGAATGGATCTGCAAAGAAACACATCACCATTTGAGTACCTTCACATTGTACAGATAAGAGAAAATAGAAATGCAAATAAATAGCAATGAAATAGAACATTTGTGTTAAAATCCATCACTAAAATCTGAAGATGGATTTTTAAAAAAGATAATAAGACAACAACAAAAAATACGAAGACATTCATATCAACCAAATTAAAATCACAATTGCATAATATCTTCCACCCAGAGGAAAAAGACCTAAACTTCAGATCACGTATCAGTGCCAGTGTAAAGTCCTCTGTGTAAAAAAATTACTTCAATAAAAGGAGTAAAAAAACCCAGACTAAACACAAAATTTACTTTAATCATCAACATACCTAACCTTCAGAGAAATAGAAAGGCAGGAGCAGAAAATACAAACATTACTGATAGTATAAAAAACACAAAAAACACCAAGTTATCAAAATAAATGACGATATCTAACTGTCTACGAGACGCAGTCACGTCTGGTCAACGGCAGACAGTTTTTCCCTGAGACCATATCGAGAGGAAAGATGTCCCTACAAGGAAAAGAAACGTTTAAGACTAGCTCAGATTCAAACCATGTCCCTCTGCTATGTGCTAGTTCATACATCGACAATAAATCTAGTACCGATAGTGGAGAGTAAAAGCAAACAGGAACACGAGAAAACTAGATCTTCACATTCTCCAGATAGTGACAAAAGGGCATGCACATTTTGATTTCCAATAGACCTGTTAACAACATTAACATCAACTTGACTTAAATAAACTCCTGGCACTTACATGACCAGAATTGAGTAAAAAAACCTCCGAGTTGGGTATACATTGTTAGACAGTCTATGACCCCCGAATTGCAAGAAAAAAACTAACGGCATAAAGATTAGTTCATTTACTTTTGTCTCCTGACCATTTTTCTAAGTTGAGCCAACTACATGTAACCATAACAACATTGCCCTGTATAAGAATGAGGAGAGCTTGCTGCTGCAGCGCTGAACAATGAATGTGTTCAAATTTAAAAAAAACAAACCATAACCAGGAAAAAGAAAAGAAAGTTAAAAAAAAAAAGGTATTAAGTACACATACGTAATACTGGAGTAGCAGGTAGATGGCGTTAAAAATAAATCTTTTTTACAAGAAATAAAATCAACAGGGAAAATCATAAGCAAAACTAGTCCCTCTGCAACATCTTCTACCTCAAGACGAAGATAAGGCACTCATGGCTGACTCTAGGAACGAAACGATTAAAGGGAAAATGTCTATCCAAAACTCCTTTACAGAATCATATTAAAACAGAAGATTACTATCGAAAATTGTAACAATGTAACTCCAGGAATTTTAGGAAAGCTAGTAGTATAAATATGTATAAAGAGAAACAAATACTACCATTTATATTATAGACACTGTGATTATAATCACTAAGACTAGAATTACAGCTATCAATATTATTACCATTGTGATCATGATCGTAACAATTATGTTTATTACAATCACTGATTTCTAAAAACACTTCTTAATTATGTTAATTATTACAATCACTGATTTCTAAAAACACTTCTTAATTTGTTTCCAAGTGGTTAAATGAAAAGCAAAGCAAACAAGCTGGGGAGGAAGGGACGTTCGTTCCAGAGTGAAGATGAAATAAGGGATGAAAATAATAACCTGATGAAAAGAAATATCATAAATGGAAAAAAGTAAGCTTTTGGTAAGACTAAAGAAAAAGTAAGGTAATCCAAAGGAAAAACAATAGGCTAAAGAGGTAAACTTTTCAAAAGAAAGAAAAAGAAAATGTTTAGAAAAGTGAAGACAATGAATAAAAAAAAAAAGCTTTAGGGAAAGATAAAAATAAACAAAAAAAGTAAGCCTATAATAAGGCAAGAAACATTTTGTCAAAGCTTTAGAAAGGGAAAGACAATGAATAAAAAAGCAAGCATAAGAAAGGAAAGGACATAAAGAACAAAGAAAGATTGTGAAAGACGAGTGACCACAACTGAAAAAAAAAGACAAAGCAGAAATAATGTAGAAAACATGAGGTCTAATCAGCATTTAGGAAAAGCTGCTTTTGAAACTTGGTGGCGCACTGGCAATGCATTATGGGATTATTGGTAATATGTAAGGCGTGGAGATAAAATAAAGTATCAAATACGATCACAAAAATCAGTTTTGAAAAACACATAGAATCAAATATGATTACAAAAATAGAATGAAGAATAAAAAATATTAACATTAAAAAAATTAAGCGCATCAAACACAGCTAAAAAATAAAATAAAAATACAAAATCAGCACATTAAAAAATATGATCATAAAAATCATTAAAAAAATACATGGAATCAAACAGGATTACAAAAAAAATTTAAAAATCTGCACCTACAGGCACACTCGTTTGAGGAAGTCTGTGGTGAGGAAGTGGTTGCAGATGTTGCCGGCATTGAACACCAGTCTGCCGTCGTGGGTTCGCTTCTCGGCCGTTTTTAGAGTGATCTCGCTGTATTCTACCACCTGGTACTTGCCGTGCACTTTGCATACCACCCCAACAGCTTCCTTGGGCATCGTCTTCTCTACAGCCTTGGTAAGAAAAAAAAGAAAGTTTTTTAGTTTCAGTAATTTTTTTTCTGTATTTGCAACCAAAATAGGTCATATAAGTCCTCAAGATTAGAGGTGTTACTACAGAGAAACATACAAAGAAAAGAAGGAGGAGAGAAAAGGAGGACCCATGTTTCATAAGGGAGAAGAAACAAACCACACCTCTGCATCTGCCAAGAAAGAAAAAAACCTCAAACTTTTATAATTGATCCTAAAAGGGATGAGTTGGCCCCCACCTCATTTAGAACTGCTTGACCTTATGCATAATATCTGGCGTTGTTCTTGTTGTTGCTGGTGTTAATCCAGTAGCCACAGTTTTCATCCCCGCAAGTATCAAAAGCACCTTAAAAAAGCCAACAGTGCTCTCACCTTTGCTCCGCACTCAACATTCTTGCTCAAACAGAATCCTATAAATACTGGGTCGGCCATCTTGACTAGGATATTGTCGACGCAGTAGATGTGTATATTCTTGACCCCACGTTTTTCAAGGTCGTCAATAATTTTGGAGTTACGGAGGGCGCTGTAGAGTCCTCCATTGCCAGCTGATGGGAGGGACAGAATAATCATCAGAGTTAAAAAGAGAAGTATTAGTTTTTGTAAGTGTTTTATGGCACTTGCAACACAATAAGGTCATATAAGTGCCGACGATTAGAAGCTTTACAAGAGAATAACAAACACAAAAAAGGAGTAGTAGTAGTATAGGGTTTTACGGCGCTCGCAACTGCGTAAGGTCATATGAGCGCTGAAGGAGTAGAGATAAGGACGATAGATGTTTGATAGGAAAGAAGAAACAAACTACACCAGAGCCCCCGCCAACCACCCACAAAGAGAAGTATATCGACAACACAATAGCGGTTCGGTGGAGTAAACAGAAGCACATTTGACGATTTTCCCCAGTTTATGAAATGCTAAAAATAGTATTTCCTCAAATGAAAATTTTCAAATTGAGTTCCACTTTAGAACTGATACAAGCAGTTAACAAAAGAAGATACCATTGTAACCAGAGACCTACAGGTAATACCTAACCAGCATGGTTAGACCACAATTTGTTACTTTGTTCATTTCAGTAAATAATAATAATAATAGATAACATTTGTATAGCGCATATCCCCCCGCTCAACAGCAGGCTCTATGCGCTTTACACTATATTATTACCCCAGCAGACCATAGAACACTCCGAAACATTCTCAGCTTCCCAAGAAGCATACAGTGCAAGCAGCTGATTAAGCACTCAAACACTAACTACCTGACAAGATCTTTCGCTGTCTATAGCCGAGTACCCATTCCCACCTGGGTGAAGTGAGGAAAATTCGTGTAAAGTGCCTTTCCCAAGGACACAACGTCGGGGCCCCTGACGGGATTCGAACCCACGACCTTACGGTTGCGAGTCTGAGAGCCTAACCACTAGGCCACCAATGCCACAAAGAGTAAAGAGAAGCATGTTCGTGCAAAAATGGGGGGAAAGAATAAGACAGACAGACAGACAAAAGCAACAAAGGGAAAGAAAGAAAGTAATATCATCTAGTGTCACCTTCAAACCACCCATAGGTCAGACTAGAGAAGTGCATCTGAACAATAACCACATTAAAGTGTTGACGGGAAGCTAGACAGACGGACAGAAACAAGAGAGGGATAGTAAAGAAATAAGCCCTACCCAGGACACCCTTTTACCGTTTTGTCAATTTATATGAGTAAACAGAAGCCCATCGACACGACAATAGTCATTAAGTGAACGGAAAAAGCAATTCTGACAGACAGAAACAACAGAGGGAAAGAAAAGAGGTAAGACCTTCCTTGTAATGTGTTCAGAGGGTGTGCATGTGAGTGTGTGTGAGAATGTGCATGCGTACATGTGGGCACATGACTCACATCACACCACCCACTTCAGCAACTTACGGGGACAACGGACGGATAAGCTTTGACCACAGGTATGCCCAAATGTAAACCTTTCAGACAGGTCAGCTGCTTACTGTCACGTGCTTCATCATTTTTATCTCTGGGTGTTGGTATTTTGCTCAAACAGCCTACATCAAAGGCAAACGCCCAGCACAGGATCACACGAGTCAGCTGAAGTTTCCTCATCAAACCATTTTCTTTTTATTAACTCTTTTATCATCACGAATTCAGTAAATGATCAAAAGGTGTACAAAATGACTTTTAGCTTTAG